CAGCTCAAACGAATCGCGTCTTCCATCCCAATCCGAGCCTCGTATCCCAAAATCGCCTTGGCTTTTTCACCACTGGCGTATCTAACGGCGCATGCATCTCGAACGCTTCCCCGACTTAAGGTGGTGGAGGTGCCTGTCACCCAGGTTAACATCTCACACAGAAACCCTGCGACGTAGGCCAATGTTTCCGGGATTCGAAGTTCGAAGGGTGGGTTATGCCCGAAATGACTCCAGATAGCAAGGCAGAAATCACGAAAAGTGATCGGTTCATTATTCTGAATGAAGAATGCCTCGCCAGCAGCCGTGCGCGAGGTCATCAGGTTCTCCATGGCTAGGATATGGGCGTCGGCGACATTACTCACATGGGTAACATCCCACAGGTTCTGCCCATCTCCGATAATAAAGGGCGTTTCGTACTTGGCAATGCAAGCGTGAATGGTAGGGACCAGCAGATAGTCTTCTTCCCCGCACAGGACTGAGGGGCGGAGGGAGCAGCTGGCCATTTGGCTGCTATCTGCCTCGAGAACCAGGGCCTCCGCTGCAGCCTGTTCATTTTTGTTAACAAATGTTCGATTTCTTTGGTTTATTGAACCGAGGTCTTGATGGGGTTGTTATAATACCTTAGATTCACCATAGATGAGGGATGTATGAGACACTGGCCACTCTTCATCGATATTGCAATAGGGCGTGCTCAAATCGTCCGTCACCACACAACAAGAGCTGGTGTAAATGAAAGCATCGACATCGTTTTCCAAAGCTCCGCTTAGCATGTTCCGGGTGCCCTCGACATTGGTTTTCCACACCTCACGCTCCAGCCTCCGGCTGAAACGGTCCACCACAGATGGTATAATGCCCGCAGCATGGACAATGATATTGGGCTTAACAATTTGAAGAGCCCTGTTCACTTCTTCGGCTGACGCGACATCAACTTGCATGCATTGGATCGTTTTTGGGAGAGCATGTTCTGCCCGGGGCGGACTCCGATCAATGACAGTGATGGCGCACCCAGGGTGCCTTGCAGCAAGGGCACGTACCGTGGCGGAGCCGACAAAACCAGTGCCCCCAGAAATAAGGACTTTCTTCGAATTCAAGATATCTGCAGCCATCGTGAGATGAGTTGTAAGCGTGCACAACTCTAGGGAGCGGGTTTCTGCTTGAGGTTAAGGAAGCTGGCACCAGGCGGCTAACAAGTGATCGACTAGGCCCGTGACTCGCTGAGAACTATGCGCCGTCACATTCCGTATCACAACTACAAGCTGCTGGAAAGCCGTAAGGACAGTAGAGTACATAGCATAACGGGGAACCGAATTGAACCGGCCTTGAACTGAGAAAAATGAATCTGAACCTGTTTCAAGTCATAGTCTATACATGGCGTCACCTCAAAGCTCCGCGACCACCCCACGTCATGCGGGGACTGCGATAAACGCAAACATCTAATATACAGATCCTCGATCGAGGCAATTATTCCAGTCGCATCAAAATGAATCGGGCTTCAAGAGAGGGCCCCGCTGCGACAAACCAATAAACTCCAGGGTAAATGCAAAGAAAAGAAACATCGGGATGGTGTATCCACTTCTCCCGCCCACCAGAACAGGCGTAATTGTACCGGTGCAAGTCGCACGCAGTATAGTTATGACACGCTTAGAGCACGCGGCACAGAACCAGCCCACCGAGCTTCTTCTCCACACACTCGCGGGCCTCCAGAATACCACGGTCTGTCGAGAGGAAGAGACTCTCGCCTGGCGAACGCAGACCGCCCACATAGCCAGAATCCTCACCACGCACGACTCGTCGCAGGCCTTCGACGTCGATTGTAACTCGTCGTGTGGGCTTGCTGACCATCCTCACCTTCCCAAGGACTGACTCGTTGCGCCAGTACTTAAGACCCAGCCAGAGGCGTCGCGACGCAACATTATCCAGAGTGACGGGCTCAATGCCTTCCACCTCATCGTTGGCGGCAGGGTATCCCAGAATCGGGTGGGCGGGGGGAGGAGTAGGACCTCCGCGGACGACAGAGGAGATGTAGCCGGAGTTCTGGAGGGCGTTGCACAGCTTCAGGTGGAGGTTGCTGTTGGGGATGGAGGTAAGACTGAGACGGGCCTTGGTGGCATTGTTCAAGTGCGAACACACGTGGGCGAGGTTGACGAGAGACATTTTGATCAAGGGTAGGCGCAATTGGCCCTTTTGGAACGGGTGGTTCGGAGAAAAGTTGCGGAGGTCGGGGGGCTGGCGAAACACGCGGTGTGGACCAGGCAAGAGTTCGGGCCCTTCTGTTAGAGGAATGGGCTCGAGGTTTTCGAAATAGCACCTCGACGTGGATGGGCAACGGAATGGGGACGTGTAGAGCTGGTCGTCACAGCGCGCTGTTGGGATGGAAATTTTCGGAAAAACCTGGCTCCGGGTTCCGACGTATACACACGCCAAGCCCAGCAGGTACAGCTCCATGAGGTATTGGGTACTTACTCCACCGCATATATCCACTGCTATCCAGAAGTACCGGCGACTTAGCCTTGTCACACATCTTAGCGCCTGCTCATCACACACCTACTCTCGGCGGCTGCAGAAGCCCTCTAACAGGAGGAACACTGGCCCCTCCAGGTGCATTAAAAAGGCAGCATTATTTCGTGAGTTCTTTTTTCCCTCTTCCCATATAATCCCCTCCCCCTCGCATTTCGACCACCTTGGTTCAATAAACCACCGCAACTATGCCTCCGCTACCAGGCGAAGAGCGTCTACTCACCATGTGAGTCGAGGCTAACTTTCCCCGCATAGGACGTAGTAATGTGGAGGGGTTCTGACAAGGCAACACTCTAGTTTCGCCGATATTCATTCCTATTTCACGGTGCCAACCCCAAAGCCTTTACACCACCGGTTTGATAAGGGCTCGTATCTATATATCTACCACGATGATGCCGACAACAAAGCAAGAATCGAGATTGCCAACAATCCAGGAACATCTGATCAAGATGCATTCCATGGAGGCTTGGAGAATGTCCATATCCGTCATTCTACCCAGTTCCCTACCCAATGCACTCTGACAGTGGATGGGCTGGGTTCGCCGCACCAACCTGCCCATTATGAATGGCGGCTCCCGAGTGGAGATCCCCGCAACGAGCGTCATAGCCTCCTACGTCTGCACACACTCGACATCTATTTCTGGACTCTGGAAGATTCAAATCAATTCCTAGACACAATTGGTCGGGTCCTGGCTACACATCAATTGGAAACAGATCGCCCTGCTCAGTCAGAACAACCCATGAGCTCGGTCGTACAGCAGCTTGAGAATGTCGCCGTGACTGATCCAGCCTACCAGAATGGCCAGACACGCAACTCGCGCTCCGAAATCCAATTAGGAGCTGCACCCGCTGTCCAGGGGATTCAACAAGTTCCTAGCTTCCCACCACCGCCTCCAAGCGGACCAACAGCCGACGAACAACAATCCAGCTCGGTACAGCAATCCCCAGTACTGGAACAGAAGACACCCGAGAGCTTCGCACCTCTGCCCTACAACCCAGCCGCACCTGCAGCCCCAGAACCGATCAAACATCGCGAAAAGACTCCACCCCCAGAAGATGGAGCTAATGGCACCGGTCTCGCAGCGGCGGTGGCAGCTGACCATGGCATCCCATATACCCCGCCATCGCAGGTAGGCGGAGCTGTGGGAATGGCCGCTCTGACAAGCCCGCAAGCTTCACAGGGTATCTCATACAATGGCGCACCAGTAACTGGAGCAACAGGATACGCTTCGCCCCCGCCAAGCGCGGGCCTAACCAACCCAGCAACGCTCTCAACTCGCAGCTCGATCCAAAGCCCAGGAATACCCTCATATCAACAATCCTTCCAGCCTAGCACGCCGGGATCAATGTCTTTTGCCCCGCCACCGCAAGACCCCAACGCCCACCTCTATACTCAGCAGCAGCAACTATATGGCTCGCCACAATCACCACCAGCTCATCAACCCAACAAAGCCGTACAAATTGCCGGATACTCGAACTTCTCATATGATAAATCACAGCAGGCACAGCAGCAGACACAGCCCGGTGCGTCGGAGTATGATGTCCACAACCAACTCTACAGACCAACCGAAACAGAGGCCAATTCGCATGTATACCAACACGCGCAAAAGTCTATGAGGAACCTTGGGACCCGAGGCCGCAAGCTGGAGGACAAGGCGGATAAATTGGAGAGCGGGATGAATCGCTTCTTCAAGAAGTTGGAAAAGAAGTTCTAAAGCGGAGAAAAGGCTTTGCTCACTCGAGCTGATTAGCATTCTGTCATCATATCCTGAAGGATTTTTTTTTTTTCCTGTCCGGGTTCTTTGAAAGCGTTTTTGTTGATCAAATTGTTTGATCTGCGTGTTCCATGTTATGCGGTGTTAAGGTTCTCTTTGGAATTTATTTCTTGAGGCTAGCCTGAGGTGTGAAATGTAAGCTTAGTATGCTTGTGGTCTGCATAACCGCAGGACGGTTATAGCTAAGATAGAAATGATGAGAAATATGCATGATTTGTTGTGAAAGAAAATCTTGACTCTGATTGTAAACGCAAGTTGTGCAAAAACCTGGGCAATGGCTAGACTAGCTCTACTATTCATAAGATACGAGAAGTTGGAATAAATCAAGAAACTAGCATTGTGATAACGTACAAAGCCCGTCTCTTGGTGGTAAATGACAAGAATACAATACAATAAATAGTATGCTGAACCCGAAGAATGCTCTGAAACGCTCAAGAAAAGCCATATGCTCACGGAGAAAAAAAAATTTAGAATGCAAGTCACACTGATGTCCTAGACATCAAAAGATAATCCAGGATGTTGACTGGGTTGAAAGAAGAAAACGAACTCCCACAAAAAAGTAGAGATGTCAGACGGCTCGGAGGAGAGGAGAGAGACAAAATCAACAGGGGAGGAGAAAGGTCAAGGGTATAGCACAAGAGAAGTAGAAAAAAAGGGCTGCCCAGGCGGACGAGAGGGTAATGATGCAAGTGGGGACGAAAGATATGATCTAACTAAGTTGGTTGGCAAAGTCGATATCAACAGTATCCGACTTAGCCTGGGTGACAGGTTCCTCAGCGCGAGCAGTAGGCTCAATCGTGGCCGGAGAATCTTTCGCGGGTGCTTCATCGGCAGACTGAGCTGTGAGCTCCGGCACGATAGCATCCTTGATCGACTCGGGAACGTCCTCCTCAACCTGGGCGGGTGTTTCGGTGGGCTTAGGGACCTCAGGGACCTCAGAGATCTCGGCCTCGAGCTTCTCCGGCTCAACGGCATTGGGCTTGGTGAAATCCTCGCTAGCTTCCTTGGCGTTCACTTCGGCCTCGGGTTGGGTTTCCTTGATTGGTGTTGCCTCTGGCTGTGCCGGGGATTGCACAATCGCCTCCTCTTTGCTCTCTACTGGGGCTGAAGCCTCAATGGAAGCCTCAATGGGGGCCTCAATGGGGGCCTCAATGGGGGCCTCAATGGGGGCCTCAATGGGGGCCTCAATGGGGGCCTCAATGGGGGCCTTTGTGACGTCCTCTTTGGTGCTGGACTCAGTCGACTCAGCGACGGGCTCAGCGGCGGGCTCAGCGGCGGGTTGAGGAACAACTTCAGTGGGAACTTCAATTTCCTTTGCTTCAACGGGTTCAGCCTTCTTGGTGACTTCTTCCACGGGAGTTTCGAGCTCAGGTTGCTCGACGATAGTATCCTCCTGTGCTCCCACGGCCAGTTCTTCAACCTTGGGGGCAATAGAGTCCACATTCTCCTTCTCTTCGCTATCCTGTTTCTTTTCCACAGGCTTTGCCTCATCCTTTACAAGAACAGGAGTCTCCTTGGCGGCAGGCTGAGACTTCTCGCTCCGGGGACGAAGAGCTGCGGGTTGGGCCTTCGACTGGACCGCGCCATGGCCTGAGACTCGTCGGGTGGTGGCCTTGGATGGAGCAGGGTTGCTCTTTGGAGGGCTCTTAGCCTCGGGCCTTTCATGGGTCTTGCTGGCCGAGCTGGCTGTCGGACGCATCATCCTGGCGAGGAATCCCTCGTTGACGGGCTTAGAGCCGTGGTCGCTAGTCCGAGAGCTCGGGCGCTCTTGTGCGGGCTGTGCGGCAAGAGAGGCTCGAGACGACTGTCTTCGAACACCCGAAGTAGTAGTACCCCGCGCTGGGGGTGCATTAACCGCACTCTTGAGGGATGACGGCTTGCGTGTGAGAGTTGAAGCAGTGGTCGTGGTGCGTCCGTTTGAGGGACCCGCAGCACCCAATCTACCAGAAGACGCCGCGGTTGATGCAGTCGCGGAGGATGGTAGGCGAGCAGGCCTGGTAGGCGATTTCGATCGGGGCTTGCTGCTTGGGGCGGTGGTAGACGATGCCTTGGGGCCGTCTTAGAGAGGGGGTTGTACCGCGAGCTGTTCGCGTAGCGGTCTTGTTAGCTGGGTTGAGAGAGGCCCGGCTTGACTTATGAGCAATCGCATTGGCTCGTTCCTTGGCTAATTCGCGCGCCGAGGTGGGCTTTGCAGTAGCGCTGGCCGTGGGTTTCGCGGTGGTTGACGTTGCGGCCGAGGCAGGCTTATTCGGTGCAGTAGTTTTTGTGGCGTGTACATTCGATGGCTTCTTGGTCACCGTCTTCGGTGCCGGCTTCTCTGGCTGCGCCGCAGGGTTAGAAGTAACCGCAGGCACATACGTAGATGCAACAGGCTCCTCTTTCTTCGAGGATGCAGACTCCACGGAAGACGTGCTCACGACCCGAGATGAAGGCTGTTCCTTGGCATTGACATTCCCATCTAGGCTCAAAGCCGCGGTTCCTTCCTGGATTCCATTGACAGTTTGGTCCATGATGCTGGCCTGGCCGTTGTTATTGTTCCCGTCGGGTGTCGGGGAGATCACGTTCTGTCGACGTGCCTCCACCTCTTCCTGGTTGATCTTCGGCCCGAAGATTCCGGGGCTGTCACTTCGTCCACTAGTCTTTCGCAATGGCGAACCCGGGTTTGACTGGATGGCGCCCTCGACGGTCACGAAGCTGGCGCGGACGCGAGAAAGTGGACGCGTTGCGGAGGAACCTGGTGCAGAGGATCCCGGAGTATCAGAAGGCACAGGTGTTCTTCCACGCGACGGAGGCGAGGTGATAGGGCTATCACCAGTTTCGAATTTGGCCAGCAGGCTGCGGACCCCAGGGTGGGCGTTGTTGTCGGACATTGTTGATGAAGCGAAGCGGTCAGGGGAAGGTGGCCGGCAGGCGCAATTGTGGTGGGAAGAAGAGGTCAAAACGCGTTGAGCGCACCGAGGGCGCGACGGAGGTAGAACGAAGCTATACAAGCAGATTGCTGTACAGAACGTTTGTTTGAAGAGAGTGAACACGGTGTTGAGAAACGTCGAAGGGGGGTGAAGAAGGGCCGATCAGGGAAACTAAGCCCACTAGTGAATGATTAGCGTGTCCAACGGGGCTGCCGGCGCCTTACCTTACCTTATGGAGTTGCACTTCTACCAGTAGCATTGGACCTCTGGGTTCAGGGGCCAGTGGCCAGTTTCCATCTGTCTGTGACAAAGTGGGTTGCCAATGATTTCATACCCGAAAATCCGCCCCCTGAATGCCCTCCTAGTCATCTCGTTTATGGAGTAAAAGGAATAGATGTTCCTTTGTGTGACGGCAGAGTACATACTACATAGTACAGTGTATACATCAAAAACATCAAAGGTCATATGGTAACTACCATGGTACATCTGACATGTAAATTGATATCCCATGGACCAGAAAATCGATCTGCGCCACACTCCGATCGCAGGAATCCGTGGTCCATGGTCCATGGCCGATCAGTCGCGTGTGGAATATGCCCTGCAGCAACCAGCGTCGCGCTATCTCAGCCCAATGCATCTCATACACACATCAAACCCCCCAGATTTCAGCTCCGTGTCTTACCCCTCTGATATGTAGGACCTCGGTCTGGTCCGAGCTTGGGCCAGCTGAGTGCTTATGTACCATTATCAACAGCTCAATCCCATGAGGAATTTGAGAGTTGATAATTGCAATCTGACTCGGAAAGCACTGCTGGATCTCTCGATCTCTTCAATATGCATCGAATGCAGCATCAATGCCATGGCTGTCATGGATGTGTTTCAAGTTGTTGTTGTTTGTACGAGGAGGGCTCAGACTGTCGGAGCGGTTTAACAAAGCCCCGCCGTGTTAGTCAGCATTTCGCCTATGCTGCAGCGTCCATGGGAATACGAGCATCCCATCAATTCCCCAACTTATCCGATATGCTGGAAAATGGTCGGAGTGCCTCGTAGCAGTGGCTGCCGCCGCTGCGTAAAGCGCAGGGTCAAGGTATGCGCGGTGGGAAGCGATTTGGATGTTTATACCTGTACTAACGCCGCCAGTGTGATGAAAGAATACCTGGATGTGCCAAGTGTGAGACATATGGCCAACCTTGCCCTGGATACGATAAAGGGTTTAAGTTCATCGCAGGAAAGCCCTATCGAAGTAAGCGGAAACAGCCGGCCCTGCGTGAGGAGGCTACTTCTGGGCGGCAACAGTCCAGCTCCGCATCCTCCAATACATCTTCATCATCACCCAACCTCGGAAGTGATTCCTCAGGTTCTGGACTCATCCTCTTTTCAAATGAGGAGCCTTCGGATTTGGTCTCTGCAGATCTGAACATATTGCAGAGTATCAATACTCTCATTGACGATTTCGCCCTGCCGGCCCCGGCTACTCAGAGCAATCGTGTTTCCCATTGGTTTAGTCTCCTGCCATCCGTCTATGGATATAATCAGACATTGGACGCTACTATCAAATCCTTTGTTGCACACCATTTTGGAAAATCCCTCCAGAATAAAGAAATGATTGTCTATGCTCGCTATTCCTACGGGGAGGCATTGTCTCGATTACGCAAAGCTCTGACGAATCCTTCCGAATGTCTTTCAACCCACATATTTTGTGCGGTAGTACTGCTTTGCACCTATGAGGTAAGATGAGAGGAACATTTTTCGCTTTTTTATGTCCAAAACCTGATTTTTGGACAGCTTTTCACCGACACTGAGAACCCAAAGTCTTGGATGCAACATGCGAAAGGGCTCGGCCAACTGATCAAGGCTAGAGGTCCCGATCGTTATCGAAACGATATTGATATCACTTTACTAAAGAATTCCCGAGGGCTAGTCGTAAGTTATTCTCGATCATTGCCCCTTCAACACATTCTCTTAAGCCCGAGTTCCAAGTTCTAACCATGGCCCAGGTCATGCACTCAATGTTCTCCGGGGAAGATTGCTTCTTAGCCTCGGAAGAATGGCATCAGATGATGCGACAGCAATATACACCAGGAATACCAACACATCTACACGACATCATTGAGGAATTTTTTGCTTTCTTCACATATACCCCCAGCATTGTCCATAGGCTCTATCATCTGAAAGAGATGGACGTGTCAACCCCACAAGCCCTACAGGTCATTTCAGCTGCCCTAGAAGAAACCCTGACACTACAAAGCAGAACCGATGCCTGGTACGAGCAGTACACTAAAATCGCTCCCCCTCCCACCGAGGCTCTATCTGGGAGAAATGATCCCTTGTTCCCCGTCATCTTAACTTACTCCGACATGATCTATGCTACTATATACTGCGGGTATTACTCTTGCATGGTGATCGTCCACGAGACTCTGAGAACCTTCTCCTATCCAGGTCCCCACGAAGCCATGGTGACCTACTTCCGGGATCAAATTTGCAGATCTGTCGAGTATTGCAGCGCTGGACTTCTCGGCCCTTACAGAATGGGGTTTTCACTACGGGTGGCGATTGAAGTTGCCGATCCTGTAACGAGGACGTGGCTTATCGCTCGTCTCAGGAGAGCTTTCAAAGACCTATGCTGCAGCAAAGCCCGAAAATCATACGACGAAATTACTATGATTCATTCAAATTTTCAAGATATCCAGACAATTAAGCTATTATGCCTTCCGAGCAGGGGCATTCCCTGGTCTCTTCAGTTCCCAGTCCACTCTGCATCGTTTGTTGTGATGTGCCTCTTGTTTTCGCTCGGTCCCGAAAGCGGCTCTATCACCGTGCGCGCCAGCACGAAGATTCCAATGATGATGAGTTCCATCAATAATCCCATGCCAGCAAGGATCCCCACGCTCCCGGAAGCCGGGTTGAATGCTGGGGGGCCATATTCCTGTAAAAGGAAATAAATGACCCGAATCAACAAGAAAGGAAGAGTTAACATCGTTAACATGACGCCTCGGCGGCCCGTTGCAGGAAGAATAGATCGACATTTAATCGACAGCCATCCGACCAAGCCACAGACGAACACAAATGTGACGACCAGCACCACCGAACCAGCTTCTCCGTAGGGTCGGATGTTGATAATTCCACCGACAACCGCAAGCACAATGGCGATAAAGATTGGGAATCGGAAACCATGAAGTGCGATGCGAATGGGCAGGGACCATTTCGAGTTTCCCCTGCCGTATTCTCCGGCTTGGCCACTGCAAAAAGACGCACATTAGTCTTGTCAATCCAAGAGCGGGCAGCAGAACCTCTCGTCATTGAAAACCGAGAATGATATACATACCATCGCAAAAGAACCAAGCTAACCTCAAACAAAAGAGGTGAGAGGCCCACGCTTTGCAAGCAAGCCTCGGCAATGAGCATCGATTTATCGGGGTGACTTTTAGAAATTATCATCGCAGAGCTAGCGATTCGAACTGTTGTAAAGCGGGTTTTCTTTAGTTTTCGATAATTCGAGCCCACTCAAGAATCTTTCTACTCACGTTGCGATAAAATTCCGATCATACTGAACCAAGAGTAAATGAAGCAGCGCGCGATATGCCTTTTTTTCCGATTGTGCCAGTATCGCCATTCTTGTGTAAAGCGGATAGGGATTTGGATCAGGTGAATGGCGGAGAAAATGACAAGCTCAGCAATTGCGATATTTCGTCTGGCCATCGAGATGGGTCCGTATTCCGCCCGGGATGAGAGGTGGTCCACTACCATGCTGATGAGGTGTTGCATCCGAAACAGTTTAAAGTTGCAGAGTAGATAAGGAGGCGATTCAAGGATAAGCAGCAAGGGTGAAGAGTGTACTATTTGGTCGTGATTTCTGAAGATTAATCTTGGGCTGCCACATCTTTAAATATTAATCTTCTTGTAACATTTGGTCTCATTTCGCGAGTGTATACATCTCTCCAGTTCTGAAGTACATCGCGGTTGGTGACCACTTTAGGTTTAGCGTGGATATCCAACTAGCTCTCAAACTTAATCTTCTGCAGCTGAAAAATCACTGAGGTAGCGTGGAACAAAGAAATCATGAAAATAAGGATGGAACCTATAATTTCCGTGTCAAAGAGGGGCCCTGGAGGGGCTCTAGAGGGGCCTGAGCATGGGTCAGCCACACAGTCCATGCTCGCGAGAACAGTCCCAATTAGGCAATGCTTGCTGATTCGCTTACCCTGTGGCGGATTTCTACAGGGCTGCGTCGAGGTGAATATTTCGGGGCTTAACTCGCTAATATAGTCTTAGACAACGGTACTTCGGTCCAAAAAGACAACCCTGGCTTACTCAATTCCATTCTCCATTCTATCCTTACTCTTCTCTTGTACATTTTGCCCTGGCGAAAACCGGAGACAAGTATACCCGGATCAATGATCACCCGGAGCCGGGCATAAAACGAAAAAGCTCCGATGACGGCGAGTCGTCGAAGACAGGAAGCATTCCCATAACAATTCACCATGGCTGCTGCTCGGACTCTTCGCATTGGTAAGTGAAATTGTTGTTCTTGTATTTAATCTGCCGCGGACGCATGCTCATCACTCCCATGTAGGTCTCATCCCCGGTGACGGTATCGGACGGGAGGTCATCCCGGTACGCAACGAGACAACCCGAGTCATCGTGCTCCCTGGGCAATCAATTGACAAAATATAGGCCGGCCGTCGGATCCTTGAATCCCTCCCCTCATCTCTGAACCTCAAGTTCAACTTCGTTGACCTGGAGGCTGGTTACGACACCTTCAAGAAGACCGGTACCGCCCTCCCGGACAAGACCGTCGAGACCCTGAAGAAGGAGTGCGATGGTGCTCTGTTCGGTGCCGTCAGGTAAGCAATCAGCTTCAGTATTGCCAATTCAGATCCATTGAGCAAGTCACCAACACTTTCGCCCCCAGCTCCCCCTCCACCAAGGTTGCCGGCTACTCCTCCCCCATCGTTGCCCTCCGCAAGAAGCTCGACCTGTACGCCAACGTTCGCCCCGTCAAGACTACCCTCGGCAACAGCAACGGCAACCCCATTGACCTGGTCATCGTCCGTGAAAACACCGAGGACCTGTACGTGAAGGAGGAGAAGACCTATGAGGGCCCCGACGGCAAGGTTGCCGAGGCCATCAAGCGCATCTCCGAACGTGCCTCCTCGCGCATCTCCACCATTGCTGGTGAAATCGCTCTGCGCCGCCAGAAGATCCGCTCCGCCGCCCCCACCTCCACCCGCGACCAGCCCATGGTCACCATTACCCACAAGTCGAACGTCCTGTCCCAGACCGACGGTCTGTTCCGTGAGACTGCCCGCAAGGCCCTGGCCGCCGATAAGTTCTCCTCCGTCCTGGTCGAGGAGCAGATCGTCGACTCCATGGTCTACAAGCTCTTCCGTCAGCCCGAGTACTACGATGTGATTGTCGCCCCCAACCTGTACGGTGACATTCTGTCCGACGGTGCCGCTGCTCTGGTCGGCTCTCTGGGTCTGGTTCCTAGCGCCAACGTTGGCGATAACTTCGCTATCGGTGAGCCCTGCCACGGCAGTGCCCCCGACATTGAGGGCCAGAACATTGCCAACCCCATCGCTACCCTGCGCTCCGTTGCTCTGATGCTGGAGTTCCTCGGCGAGGAGGCTGCCGCTGCCAAGATTTACGCTGCCGTCGACGGTAACCTCGATGCGGCCAAATTCCTGTCCCCCGACATGGGCGGCAAGGCCTCTACCACTGAAGTTCTGGATGACGTCCTGAAGCGTCTGTAAGAAATGAGATTGTATATAGATTTGGGACGCGCCGGTGTTCCATGGAAAATAGGTGTTTGAATAAAAGCCATTCGAGTATTTGATTAGTGAACACCTCTAGTAGAACGTAGTGGTACTAGTAATATACTACTAGTATATTCTCGAGTATATTCTGGGGAGGCTAGTCCACGTCTTGATCTCCTGTCTGCTCGCCATTTTGCGCCTTTTCAAGTTCAGGTTGGTCCCAAACAACAGTGAAAAGGACAGCCAGATACACCTCACCGGTTTTGACATTCTTGAGAACATAGCGCAATTCGTTCATTGTATCATCGACCATACTGATCACCGGAATGGTGAATCCGGGCAGATGAATCGACATATCTGCCAGAAAATGAGATTAGCCAAACTCCGAGTCCCTTCATAGCCAAGATGGTACTAGTAATTTGAAAGAAAACTTGAACGACAATCGCTTACCGCTGAAAGAGAGGTACCCATTGCCAAAGTCAGCCAAGTATGTCCTACCAGCTTCAAAATCGAATTCCTTGCGGTGCTTCTCATTTTGAAAATGGCTTCGGCGAGCCTTTGCCGTATCACCGGAGATGTTGACTGCAGCGCGACTCTCCACACCATCTCCATCAGCGCCCTCCTCCACAACATACTCGGTCGTCAATTTAGGAGTCGCCGCATTACTCTTTCCGCCGATGCGGAATTGATTCCACGTTGCCAGGGCGGGGCTGTAGAGATATGGTTTGTCGGCATAGGCGTCACCATCGATAGAGGGGTCAATCGCCCATTTGACTGTCTTCAATGCGGCGTTGAAGCCCATTGGTAGGCGATCGCGGATAGGATGGTCGAAGTCATTGCCGAAGACTAGGTCATTGCCATTGATATTCTCTTTCGGAGTGAACGAGCAAGATATTGAGTATTGATCATGGGCGTGTAGCGGCTGTGAGAAATATGGGCTGGTCTTTGGGGAATTCTCAGGGTATCCTGTCTCTGTTGTTAGTCCCTCCTTCGTCTCTGGTCTGGACAGATGTGAGTGTCAGAGTACCGGAGAAGTTCTGGATATGGACGCCCACGTCCACTGCTGCTCGGTCGCCGTCAAAGTGTAGCGTCTTATCGTTGACGGCAACCTGTTGGTGTGTTGATCGGTCATAGTCCGGACCTGCCGTCACTCTCAGGCGGTATTTGGGGAGCTCGGTTTGGCTGGGCATGACTGTTGAGGCAGATATGATCGTCTACCTGTGGGTGTGTGTGTGTCTAAGTTGTAGAGAATATATACACGGGGAAATCGGTCAAAGTCAAAAACCGGGACGCGTTGGGGCCTCTATATAATTTGACGTCGTGACAGCATCATCCGTTGGGGACTGTGGCAGGGCAGATCGTGGCTGCTCACTCCAACACTCTTTCCCTCTCTCCTCTAGTAGCGCGTGGAAGGCTCGTAGAACCTTTCTCAGACCATTCGGAACCTGATCTAAGCCGCTTTAAACTAGACTACATAGTCTAAACCATGGAGAACTGTTAAAGCCGAAACATGTCCATAAAAAACCCACCGATTTGATCCATCGCGGTTGAGTTTGGGGGCCAAAGTTGGGGGCCATGACATCACACCCATTGGATTGCAGCACGTACCATCACGGGGACCGCCCGATCACCATTTTCATTTCCATTTCCATTTCCATTTCTATTGGTTGTTGCGCTCAGAACCACCTAAATCGTCCAACTGCGCCCCTCTCCACGGGATGCTGGGCGCGCTGGGCGTGAGGGCCGCCCAGAACAAAAAAAAAGAATGTGGGCCGAATCTATCAATACGAGCCCTGCGACACGTATAAAGGAGCCCGAGGGCCAGTTCAGGAGGTGAACTGCTTGGATTTAATTTTTGAGCTGTCCAATTCATACCCAAAGATATCCATTTTCTTCACCATGGAGCCTCCCGTCGAACTCACTCGCCGTGCACAACCTGATACTACGGCCGACTCTCCAGGTCCTCAAAGCTCAACGGTACCACCTCGACTCAGCGTGGACTTTGGCTGGCGGAAATTCAAATCGCTCCTTTCTGACGAGAATACGCCCAACGCAGAGCCCCTATACATCCTCGAGTACCAAATCGCCAAGAAGCGTCTCAAATTCAAGCGCTATTCCACCGGCGAGGTATTCGGCCTCGGCGATCTGAACGTAGTCAGCATCGATGCCGACTACGAAGTTCACGGACGCAAAGACCAAATCGTTGCGCAGAGTCGCCTGAAGACTTCCTACGCCCATCGCTCCACTGCCGCATCTACTACCGACAAGCCGGTCACCCTGACCTGGTCCAGTGATAGCAATTTCACCACATGGGACTTTGTCTGCTGCGATGAGCAGCAACTACCCGTGGCCAAGCTCACAATGAACATTTGGGGTCTAAAGAAGATTGCCCGGATTGAGTTTATGGGCCTGGCGGAGCAGAACCAGGAATTGCAGGAGGAACTGGTGGTGACCACGTTGACTTTGAGCTATCAAATGGGTTTGCGGACGGGTAATCTGTTGAATCTTGTCGGGGCTCTCTTTGCTCGCCCTGGTCATGAACCCAAGGCTCGCGGTCCAGGTCACAAGACTGCTCCCTTCTCGTCTCCTCGGGCTTCCTTTGAATCTAGACAATCCCAGACCACTGCAACTGCGCAAGTTGCTTCTGGGACCGATCTTCACTCGGCTATTTAAATTTTCGTCATAGGGACACTGCGGGATTACATTTGTTTTTAGAGATACCAATCATGTCTTTGCCTGAAAGGCCATTTGCGTTTAACTAATATTAAATTTCATCATATTTCACAAATGTTTGCTACTACTATGAGTAGTATAGATCAGAGCGGGAAAGCAAAATCCCGACCAAGCGACCGAGCTACCCAGTAACCTAGTGCCTGCCGAACGATATTATTACTAGACCAAGTCCGATTCGGGTGCACAGCATGAGCCAGAAGAACCATAAATGTATCCGAAGCTCTATCAACCACAAGTGATGTGCCCGTAAACCCAGTATGGCCACCAGCCTGGATATTAGCCATAGGCCCAGAGAAGTAAGACTGGTTCAATTCAAACCCAACGCCATGTTCATCGCCGGGAAACTTTCCGTTGAAGTTGGTGAACATCAAGTCAACGCTTTTCGAAGTCAAGGATTCTCTTGCCATTATATGTCCCGTTATTTAAGACCATCTGACACAAAATGGCCACATCGCCCGCGGAAGCAAAAAGACCCGCATGTCCGCTCACTCCATTCAAAGCCCAGGCATTCTCGTCGTGGACAGTGCCTCGCACCGGCTGGGGACGTTTAGGCTCAGAGGAGCCGAGGACTTCAATTTGGTACTCGGTCGGTGCCATGCGTGAATAATAACCCAATGACTCAGCTCTGATATTACCCTTGTTGAAGAAGGTGCTAGTCATTCCCAAATTTCGGGTCCAAGAATGCACAAGATCTTCAAATGGCGTTCCGGTGATCTTCTCTAGCATGAAGCGCAGGTTCATAAAATTGAGGTCCGAGTACGTATAGGTTGACCCAGGAGGATTGGCCAGTTTATGTTGAATAATTGCTTCGACACGCTGCTGCATATCCTCATAGCTCGGGTCGTATAGCCCTGGTTCGGGATCAGGAGGGAACCCGCTGGTATGAGTGAGCAGCATCAGAACGGTGACATTCCCTTTCCCATTCGTTGCGAACTCAGGAATATAGGACGCGACTGGTTTGTGTAGATCCAATTTCCCGTCATCGATGACTCGTAATGCTGTGATGGCCGTGAATACTTTCGTTAAGCTAGCCATGTCATAAATCGTGTCCATTTTTGTTGAGACCCATGCGTTGGGTGGAAGAAGCGTGCCATTTGCATTAGCATATAAACTGGCATTGCCGAAGGCGAATGAGCTCACGACCGCTGCCTTGTGGCCGACGATAACAGAGCCTCCTGGTAAAATGGGATGTACTTCATCGTACGAGTGGGATCCATAGTTTGCTGGGCGAGTATACTGGCTCAGATTCATCTGCATTTGTGCAAGTGGCCCCGGGAGAAGTCCTACAGACTCTGGCGAACCGTCTCTCAAAACACGGTCTGTGGCTGCTGGTAATGAGAGGAATGAGGTGATCAGGCCGATGGTGGCCGCGGCTTGAAATCGCATCTTGAAATAATATTTGAGGCTGCAACAGAGCAAACTTAGGATGACCATTCCTTAAGAGATATATGCTAAGTTCACGGAGCTGCTTGAAAGTTGACTGCAGTCCGGGGGAGTTGTAACAATGTTGCATTCTTGCAGAGATCTGTGCTTCATTCGTGTTCATGTCTCCACTTTGCGACGTGCGAGCGCATCTCGTACGAGTATCTTGCAAGCGGGTGAACCCGACGAAGCTCCCAGCCCCGCATTGGACGAGATTAAACTTTTTCATATTCTAGGAGTTTTATATTATACGATATGCAGCATTGGTAGTATCACTATCGTCCGAAGGCGACGCGCCCCGGGGCCCTTCGGTCCCAAAGCACCATCCAATCCGGTTACGAGAGGGCAGTAAGGAGAATCAATTATAATTGAAAATGTGAAATTAGCTGATTAGCTTTAATTCCGTATATGCAAAGACTATTGAAAAGAAATCTTAGACAAGAAAGATTGACCAACGGATAGAACCCAGACCATGACAAAAAAAGAAATAGAAAAGAGTGAATGGAGAGCAGGTAGGTACGCCATCTAACTATGCATCGATTAAATCCATAGTAGGCAGATCAGGATCTGAGTCCAGCTCAGTTCTCAGACCAGGGACATCCTCGCTCAAAAGATCCTCCTTCGTGAGAATCCCAACACCGCTGTCGATACGCTTGCGGTTCTTGCCACGTCCGTACTCGACATCAACGAAACGAGTCATGCTGACAGGCGTAATAGGTTCACTACCCATAACAGTAGTTCCATCAGACATAAGATCGTCGGATTTGAGCTCCCAATTAGCGGCACGAGCCTTTGCTCGCCGTCGCTCCAAGCCCACGCTCTCTTTCATGAAAGCAAATGATCGCGCTTGCTCAGCGGCCCATTTATCGAGGATTTCGTCGCGAGCCTCAGTTTCGATCCGCAACTGCTCCTCCAAACCGATATTGACCTGACGCAGACGATCTGCCTCGCACTTTGCTTCATCAAGTGATGTATTAAGCTCAGAAATACGAACATTGAGCGTCCCCGTTTCTTGCTCATGTTGTTGCAGTTCCCCCGAGGCCTTTTTGTCGAGGGCATTGGAGGCAACGCGTTGTTCTTTCTCAAGGCATTCCACCTGCGCCATCAGATCACAGGCTTTTATCCGATTCTGCTCGACGGTTTCTTCAAGTAGCCGAATGCGCGTCTCATACTCCGAAGCAGATCTTTCGGTTTCAGAGCGCTGTTGCCGCTCGCTGGCGACTTGTTGCTGAAGTTTCGCAATCTGCTGTTTGTACTTCGCCTTTATGGCGACGTTTTCGTCTTCCAACCTGTTGACCAAGTTTTCAAGACTCTTCATATCCTCATGATATTTGTCCAGGGCGGTATTTAATCTGTCAATCCCAACCGTCTTTTCTTGGTCTTCGTTTTCGAGGTCTTGAAGTCGCATTCTGGTATGTAACATGTCGCGGGCAGAGGACGCGATGGAATCCTCAAGGTTGCCGATTTTGTTTGCTGCCGCTTCATACCGATATAATAGGTTGTCGAACTGTCCTCGGAGCGCCTTTTCTCGGCCTAGCGAGCCATGGTGGTGTTTGCGCTCCGCCTGGAGGTCTTTTGCCAATGACCGCACTCGTTGTACTAGGGTACCTAGTGTTGCTTTTCCGTTCGCTAGGCTGACACCAGCGGTCTCACCCGGGATAGCCCGCTCGAGCTCCAGGCGTGCTGAACGGAAATGGTCTTTGATATCAGAGACCACTTCTTCCGCGCTGGCGCCAGAGAAGCCTAGACTGGAGCATTCTTCGTTGATACCCTCAAGGGCCTCCGTCACATCGGCGGCACGGGATAGAGCAGTCGTCAAGATGCTGACAATATTGTCGAAGAAGTCTTGAGGAGGTGAAGGTAGGCGAAAGATATCACCCATACTGGAGTCCTCAAAGGCGGATATTTGTGAGCGGCATCTATTGAACAGTTTCTCTTTCTCTGATCGAGCCGTCTCCAAGTCCAGGGTCAATTTGTACATATCCGAATTTGCGTTCTTATCAACAAATGATGTCTGGGTCGCGATGTTTGCCATAGTTGATTCGTCGCCGTACATCAGACTATCCGGCTCCGGTGTGTTGTAGTCGTGCATAGCACGAAGGTCTGGCGAATTGGAGACAATTATGGCGCTGTCATTGAGCGTGAATGTGTCTCCATCGGCAAATTGGGATGGCTCATTCTGGTCTCTATCGGAAGCCACGGATATTCCTTCGTAAGAAATCGCTCGCTCGGGCCCAGGTTGCTGAACGTCAGGCTGGGACGACATCCAATATGACTCATAGGATGGAAGACGGCTATCGACATCATCCCTTTGTTTTATAGAATCCAGTTCACGTTGCAAGTCGTCTCGCTGCTGGCGGAGTGTGGATAGCGTCTTCTCAAAATTGCGGCTCTCGCGTTTCTCCCGCTCGATCTGAGTGATCTCATCGCTCAATCCAATCCGGCGAATTCTCCTTTGTGTACGGCAATCTAAAATCTGGCGTAGAGGAGTGAACTGGTAGACTCGTTCTGACGAGAACTCGTCATGTTCTTCGACTGGGTCAAAAGCCCGTTGGAAACGAGGTAATGGTGCCGATCTCCGGCGTGCACTGCGACTCGGGGTCTGATTTCCACGCCGAGAAAACTTGGCAAAAGGCTCAAATGAGGTGCGTTTTATTGTCGGAGTCAAGCCAGTGGAGCCTATCGTAGTTTCATGCAGCAAAGGACCGGGGTCGGAAAAACGTACACGCTTCCTAGACTTCCGAGGTGTACTTGTCTCTTGCGGCTTGGACTCGACATATTCTGTTGCTCCAGCAGCAGCTTGTCTCGTCCGATGGGAGACAGGAGGCTCGCCGGTCAAGATTGAGATAGCACTATTCCTGCGCTTTCGGCAGGATGATCGCGTCTCCATATTGCGTGGTGATTGACGAGAGAAGCAATATCAAAAAAAGGGAATGGAATATTGAGGACTGAGTCGTACAACAAAGTACAAGGTAGTTGTTTAGATTATCAAAGAGTTGGGCCGAATAGAAATGCAAGCATCCTAGGATGACAACAACAAATCAGAGAGAAAGGGATTTAATGCACCACGCTTATTAAAGAAGAACTTGAATTGTATACATCACAACATAAACAAACATTCAGACGCGCAGGTGGGGCCAGTGGCGCCTTCCCTGGCAGTCAGGCTGGCATACTAGGCAGGCACAGGCACAGGCACAGGCAGCAGAGTCGCGCCTGCGCGTCTCTGGGCTGATATGTGCTTACCTATTCCGGATGATAAACAACTTGCCGTTTTGGGAATGGTGGTCACGTGTTCCTCAGTGCCCAGTAAACATGCCCAGCCGCTGTTAGAGCATATCATCGTCGATGTAAATTATTTAGCTCCTTATGATCAGGTGGCGAAGTGTAAATTAAGGATTACTCTTTCTGTGAGATTGGCTGGTCGCAGTCATTTCACCTGAAAACTTGAATACTAGTACTATGTTTACATAGATCGTTAGTATTCATCAGCTGGGCATACTTGGTATAGTTACTACCCAAATCTGTAAGAGAAATCGTAAATAACCCAGTGCTAGTATTGATTTCCTTGAGACCTTTAATGCTTGTTTAACACACCAAAATACCAAATATTCAATGGCACAACCCTCCTACCTATACCTTCCCCAACGCGATGGAATTGGAAGCTTAACCGCAGCCGGGCCGAAGGATCTCCATCGCCACTCGCGGGGAACCAACTTCCCCCAGTTTGGTCCCGAAGATCGTCGCCCTTGAAATCTATCCCAGCCAGCCTCTGTCGAATTTGTGGTTCAACCCCACGCCCTGTTTTCATTTGCGGAATAGGCTCCGTTTTCAACTGGGGTCTCATTATCTTATCAGCTTGGCCCACCACTCACCTTTGACATCCAGCTGTGCCTCCCTGGTTCCCTCGTCTCCAACGCACACACTTTGTCCCGGCATTAGAGCCCGTCTCGTTGGAACCTGTCCAGGGCGGACCTTCCTTCTTAGTTAACTCTTTGTTGCAATCCTCTCCCCCACATCACCAAATGCTCCTTCACCCGCTTGCTCTCAGGTGATGTCATCTGCGTTGCCGAAGGGGGATCGAGCTAGCATCAATACCCACATTCACTTCCTCCTCTCTTCAAGACCAACATCGGGAGCATGGCAGACGTGGTCTCTTCGAGCGAGGTATATCCCACCCAAAGCTAGAACCGTGGACGGCAAGGCGATCTCGTCTGCCGGCCGGTGAGGGCATTTGCACTGACTTGTTGGACAGGCTTCTGCGCTTTTGAAACGCCGAAAGTACATCGACGATATTCTCCATGACCAACAGTGGACCCGTACTACTCACGCATCATCAATAATCGATAAACTACCCGCCGAGATCCTTCATTCGATACTTTCATTCCTTTCCCCGCACGATCTTGCCCGCGTGTCCGCTACATGCCGTGCCCTCACCGAACATGCCTCCAATGACCTTTTGTGGAATCGACTACTCAACTCCCATCTTCCATTTCCGATCCATGATCCGGGCCCTTTTGACACATTTCGCCGACTATACCTCGCCCATTTGCCCTACTGGTTCATACCTCAGAACAAAATTTGGTTCGCAGACAATGAACACACTGGAAATTTGATTCTTGCCCGCTATGATAACCGACGGGGCGTGATAGAAGCATACCGTTTAATCGCGGATCGAGGCTCCCCTGAATTCCAGGTTTGGGATGCACACCCAGATGTGATGATCCAGTCATTCCACCCCACTGTCAGTTTGTGGTTAGATGACCCTGTGCTACTCCTCAAGGATATGGAGCCATCAGAGCCGACATCTGAATGTCAAACTTGGATGGCAGAGCGCAAGATGCACATGCCTGCTGAGGCCAACCACCTGTTTAATTCACTTATTCTGTGCTCCAATCAGGATACCGATGTCCAAGAGTCTGGTCACCTTTGGCCACCCCCGACTATTCCCAGCAAAAGTCGTGTAG